AAAAAAAAAAAAGAGAAAAGAGGAAGGAAGCGGAAGGGCAAATGGGAGCTTAGCCTCAAAGGCTCAGGTCCCTGCCTAGATTCAGGCAAGATGGCAGGCTGCCTACCAAGAGTGAGGGCCAACTCCCCTGGAAGGTAGCCTGCCCATACCATGGGCTCACCTTGAGGGGTTGGGGGGGGTGTCATAGCCCCTGTAGAGCTTTCCTAAAAGTCTGTTGCCCTCTCCAGAACGTGCTAGGAATTTCCTTCAACACAGGACACAAAATAACCCCAGCTACCCCCTGTGGGGTCCTATTCAAGATCCTTATCCTCTTCTCTGGACAGCCAGCTCACCCCAAAATGGAAGTGGGGGAGGGATGGGAGTTGGAGCCATCTCTTCCTTGCTTCTCCCAGGCCCTTCCTTTGCAGCTGGCTCACCGTGGACACTGCCAAGTGTGTTCTGTGCCAGGCCTGACGCCTGGCCTGGGGGGCTGGGAGAGGGGCTAGGGGCCCTGGGGCCTGTGACTTCCAGTGATCTTGGAGCTTTTAAGCTTGTCCTTCAGAGAGCCTAAAACTTCCCAGGAGAGGAAGAACTAGCCTTGCTGGGTCTCCTAAGGAGAGTCAGGGGAGGAGGGTGCCGGATCTGCTCCCCTTGGGGGCCCAGGGCAGCACAATAGCCCCTGGGGCTGCCACTCTCTGGCTTAAGTGGTTGCCTAGGCAACAGCAGGGGCCAGCTTCCACCAATCCACGGCAGAGGCTGGGTGGGGGGAGGGAGGCCGAGCAGGAAGGGGGAGCGGTCCCTGTGCTGGATCCTATATAAGGAGGAGAGATGGGATGGGACCCATGTGGCTTAGCGTCACTGTCCCTCTGGTGGGCTTAGGGGGGGGCCAGAACACAACGATGCTTAGGATAGACCACTGCAAGCCTGGGTCCTGGGGCAGCTTCTGGGCCATCCTGACCTTGGTGGGCCTGGCCACTCGTGCAGGTGAGTGGGCAGTGGTGGGTAGGGTGGCAGGGAAGGAGGCAGAGAGCAGGGGGCAGCAGTGGGTAGAACTATACATGACCAGGAGAGGGCGCTGTCCAACCAGCCCTGGAGAGCACCTTAGTGGTTCCCTCAGCTTTCAGGCACCTTTTCCAGAAAGGAGGAGGGCAGGCTGTCTCTGGGGGGAGGAGGAGGGGGGCTGAGCAGCAGGCAGGGGTCTTCAACTACAAGAAGACTCCTCCATTGTCCATTGTCTGAGGCCACTGGGCCCAGGCCTAATGGGGACGCCATCAGCATGCAAGCTTTCAAAGGGACAGCTGGGGAGGCGGCGCTGGGAAATCCACGACCCGCCTCTTTCTCTTCTTTTACCCCTGGGCCTCCCTGCCTAGCTATTGTGTGGGCCTTCCCTCCACACATCCTCTGTGTGTGTGTGTGTGTGCGTGCACGCACGTGCGCTCATGCACGCGTTCATGTGTGAGACAGGCGGGTGTCCATCTGCCACCCTCAGACACAACCTCTTTGCTCCCTCTGCCAGGAGGCCTGCAGCGCCCTCCACTAGGGGGCGCTGTCTACGCGTTTTCTATGAATGGGTTTTCTGTAACTGAGTGTGCATTCTCCTCTGGCCATCCATGGCCTCCTTGGAAGCATGAAAGGTGGACTGCCTGGCCAGCCTGGAAAGTGGATGCCAGCCTCGATGCTCAGCTACTCCAGCACCTGCTCACTTTTGGGGCTGTCTCTGATCTGTCTCACAGATCGAGAACCCAAGGGGGCAGGGCCTGGAAAACAGCTTACTTCCCTGCCTCCTGCTCTCCTCCCTGACCCTGACTGCTACAAATCCACCCTCATCAAGGCCCTTCGTGGTGCTGGGTCCTCATGTACATACACACACAAATAAATCAGGGGAGGCTGGAGAGTGAAACACAGCAGCTGCTTCAGTGAGTGAGTGCAGAGCCCCTCTAGCCCCATCTCTATCCCCAGCCCCCACCTCAACCCCTCACCCCTTGTTCAGATTGTGGAGAAAGGTGGGCTCCTCTGCGTGCTTACTATGCATCCGTTATGCATCCTTTCATGCTTTGGGGCGAGTAAATACTAGGTTTGCTTGGGTCACTGTCATATTCCAAGAACGAGCACTTAGGTTTGGTGAGGTGCCCTATAAATATTTGTTAGTGCAGACACAGATTTCTTGAGGGGCTGGGTAGGAGACTGTTTGCCAATAAGCGAAGCAGGGGAATAAGGATTTCTTCAATCCTTGTCTGAGGGGGGTGGTTTTGGCATTGTGGTTGCCAGCCCATGGGTCGCATAGCTGGCCCAAGTCCCTGTCTGGGACACTCCTTTTCTAGGATATCCTCTCAGGTGCTCACAGCCATGACCTGTCCATCTACAATGTGTCTGTGGGCATGCATGGGCCTCACTGGCACAAACAGGTGTGCACACACAGCCCCCTCATGTAATCCCAGCTACTCAGGAGGCTGAGATCTGAGGATCTCAGATGTTCCATGTATTCAGGGCTCCCTCCTGCAGATTGCCCTGCATCCTAGATTGGGGCCCTGGCTCACGTGCTTTCTCAGCCTGCGCTCTTCCTTCCTGCTGCAGCCCAGAGAGCAGACATGGGTGGAGAGGCAGCGGCTACCTCCATCAACCACTCGCAGGTGCTGCTCCAGCGCATGCAGGAGCTGTTGCGGCAGGGCAATGCCAGCGACGTGACTCTGCGCGTGCAGGCTGCGGGCACTGACGAGGTCCGTGTCTTCCATGCCCACCGCCTACTGCTGGGCTTGCATAGCGAGCTGTTCCAGGAGCTGCTGAGCAACCAGAGCGAGGTGGTGCTGCAGGAGCCCCGAGACTGTGCTGCCGTCTTTGACAAGTTCATCAGGTGAGCCGAGGGAAGAAGCCTGGGCCTTGGTGCTTGTTATGTCCACACTCAACACTGCCAGGGTAATCCCTGCCTTGGCCTGTACACTGTGTGGGTCCGTGTTGCTCTCCACACCTGCAACATGCTCCATAGTGTCTTCTTCTTCTTCCTCCTCCTCCTCTTCCTCCTCCTTCCTTCTTCCTCTTCCTCCTCTTCTTTGTCTTCTCTCTCTCTTTCTTCCTTTCTTCCCTTCCTTCCTTCCTCCTTCCCTTCCTTCCTTCCTTCCTTCCTTCCTTCCTTCTTTCCTTCCTTCCTTTCTTTCTTTCTTTGCTGGTACTGAGGCTTGAACTCAGAGTCTGAGCACTGCTGTCCCTTAGCTTAGTGAGAAAAGAAAAGATTCTTAGAAATTTCCTGCCCTTGATTCTTAGATCTCTACTTCCTGAGTAGCTAGGATTATAGCATGAGCCACCAGCATCTGAAGCCAGATGGCTTCTGTGATGTTTTCAAACTTGACCAGGAGAGTTTGTAGATAGAGCTCTACAGATTCCAGGGTCCCACACTGGGTGATTGACCTCAGATTCTTAGATCTCCACTTGATTCTTAGGTCTCCACTTCCTGAGTAGCTAGGATTATAACATGAGATTCTTAGATCTCCACTTCCTGAGTAGCTAGGATTATAGCATGAGCCACCAGCATCTGAAGCCAGATGGCTTCTGTGGTGTTTTCAAACTTGACCAGGAGAGCTTGTAGATAGAGCTCTACAGATTCCAGGGTCCCACACTGGGTGATTGACCTCAGATCTAGGAGTTGGGATCTATTTTGATTTTAAGGCCTCCTAGGGATAGGGAGCTGAAAGGTTAACTGGTTCTCTTCCTCACTTCCCATTCTTCCTGCCAATGTGCTTAGTAAGGAAGAGATACACTGCAGTCTAAGAAGGTAGCCTCATTCTAATGGGGCAAGATGGCTGCAGAGTTCTAGATATCACTTCCAAATCCCAGGCAGCAGGAAGGGGGAGCATATAGAAGGGCTCCCAGAGAGCCAGGTAGGGCACTCTGTGCCACCCATTGGCAGGAAGGGTGACTTCCACACCACTCCCATTAACCAGAAGAAGAGATCCTGTGAAGTAGAAACAGCCGGGCAGGGCCTCCTCAGGAAGGAAAGATGGAGCTGGTGGCTCACCTGTAATCCTAATCACTCAGGAGGCTGAGATCTGACCATCTGGGTTTGAAACCAGCCCAGAAAGGAAAACCCATGGGACTCTTATCTCCAGTTAATGAGCAAAAGGCTGGAGGTGGAGCTGTGGCTCAAGAGGTAGAGCACAGGAAGAGCAGAAGAGCCCCAGGACTGGCATATCTGCACATAGAGAGAAGAAAGGGAGAGAGATTGGGAGGGGGTGGGGTAGAGAGGGAGAGGAGAGAGAGAAACGAGAAGGGGAGGTACAGTGTCTTCATCCCCCCCCCCTTCCTCTGGCAGGTACCTGTACTGCGGGGAGCTGGTGGTGCTGCTGGCGCAGGCCATCCCGCTGCACCGGCTGGCCACCAAGTACGGGGTGTCGTCGCTGCAGCGGGGCGTGGCCGACTACATGCGCGCGCACCTGGCGGGGGGCGCGGGCCCGGCGGTGGGCTGGTACCACTACGCGGTGAGCACGGGGGACGAGGCCCTGCGGGAGAGCTGCCTGCAGTTCCTGGCCTGGAACCTGTCGGCCGTGGCGGGGAGCGCCGAGTGGGGCGCCGTGAGCCCCGAGCTGCTGGCGGCGCTGCTGCCGCGCTCGGACCTGGTGCTGCAGGACGAGCTGGAGCTGTTCCAGGCGCTGGAGGCGTGGCTGGGGCGCGCG